CATATATATTACAATTTTAGATGCCATGTTGTAATCACCTAGCATGCCAGGCACCTAACAGAGTTCATCTAATTTAATTCTCACAACAAACTGGAAAGAGTTACTGCTTTCCTACCATTTTTCAATGAGTTAGCTGAGACTTAGAAAAGGTAAGTAACTTAACGAATTCATACACAGGATAAATGGCATGGTACTGAATCTACATGATATTTTAAATTACAGCCAGCTTTACTAAAATGTAGTTTTAATTTCAAAACATTTATTAATAAAGAGACTTTTATGTAAACATATTTGAAAGTAGTTTGTCCCTAAGTTATATTTAATTAGAAGCCTGGCAATTCCCAACCCAATTCCCAGCGTCTGCTGCTGTGTTGGCCTAAGTAGTACTGATGCCTCATTGCCTCAGATTCATTGTTAATAAAATTAATATAATATTCCTGTCCTTACTGATTCCAGGGGCTGTTCTAAAAATCAAACAAAATATAGAAGTAAAAATGTTTTGAAAATCTATGATAAAATTTCAAATTTCCCTGAGTCGTGTCACTTTCTAAATCCTGCAGGTGACTTGGTCACATGGCAATAGGGAATCACTCTGCTGTGACTAAATTCTTTCTGGTGGGGCTTTCCCAATACCCAGAGCTCCAGCTTTCTCTGTTCGTGCTCTGCCTCATCATGTACCTGATAATCCTCCTAGGAAACAGCCTCCTCATTATCATCAGCATCCAAGATTCCCACCTCCACACCCCTATGTACTTCTTCCTTGGAAACCTCTCATTCTTGGACATCTGTTATACATCATCATCCATTCCTCAAATGCTCATCACATTTAGATCTGAGAGAAAATCCGTCTCTTTCATTGGCTGTGCACTGCAGATGGTTGTCTCACTTGGTTTGGGCTCCACCGAATGTGTTCTCCTCGCTGTGATGGCCTATGATAGATATGTGGCCATCTGCAACCCACTGAGGTACCCAATCGTCATGAACAGGATACTATGTGTGCACATGGCCTCATAGTCCTGGATCATAGGCTGTCTGAACTCCCTAGTACAAACAAGCTGACAATGGTGTTACCTTTCTGTGGGAATAATGTCATTGATCATATTACTTGTGAAATTCTAGCTCTTCTTAAACTTATCTGCTCAGATATCACCATCAATGTATTTATCATGACAGTGACAAGTACTGTTTTACTAATGATTCCTCTGCTGTTAATTTTTATCTCTTATGTTTTTATTCTATCTTCCACACTGAGAATTAATTCTGCTGAGGGAAGAAAGAAAGCCTTTTTGACCTGTTCGGCTCACCTGACTGTTGTAATCTTATTCTATGGTTCAGCCCTTTTTATGTACATGAAGCCCAAGTCAACAGACACGAAGACATCTGATGAGATCATTGGGCTGTCTTATGGAGTGGTGACCCCAATGTTGAATCCAATCATCTATAGCCTGAGCAACAAGGAGGTAAAAGAGGCTGTGATGAAAGTCTTGAGTAGATACCTACATCTATGGAAAATATGAAAGGCCTTGAGGCATGTGATATCCTTAATGAGGGACAAGATCAGGTATTTTGCGTTCACAAATGAAGTCAGGGAAACCAGCGTCAAGGGAGCTTTTGTGCTTATAAAGTCAAATATGGAACTCCCATGCTCTTCAACATAGAATGCCCATGTAGGTCTTTCTGAATATTGTCTGGTCTGCAGAGTAGCTGAATGCAGCTCTGCCAATTGGCCACATAAAAGGCATATGACTTTTCATCAGAAGGAATCTCTCTCCCCTCTGCTCTCTGTGCTTACTTGCTCACTCTCATTTTTTTCTGCCTCTTGTCTCCTCCATTTTCTCCTCTTCCTTTTCCAACCCTGTCCTCTCTCCTCCATCTACTTCCTTTTTCCTCCCTCCCTCTTCTCGTTCTCCTTTCTCAGATTCTTTGAACTGAACATCTATTATTTTTGTCGTACAACATCTCTTCTTCTGGTAAAAGAATGCATCTTTTTCTCTTAAGGATACAATATTCCTTTATTCACAGTCCATGTTGTGCTGGGTGGGGCTGACCAAACCCTCTGGAGATAGTGGTGATCATGAAACAAAGGACTAGTCAATTCTAGAAGGAAATCCCTCTAGCCATAGTGATTCATTCTGGGTAGCATGTAAACCAAGTCAGGCTAATCAAACTCATTACCAAGAGTGTTGCCTCAGTATCAGAAAAGAGGCACTCTTTCTGCTAGTGTTGCTAAAGTGGTAGAATATGTGCCTGGTGCAAATCTTTGCTAATATATGGGGAAAGCCTAACTGAGAGGCAAATCAGTGCTGAGAGGAAGGAGAGTGTTCCTGATGCTGTTGTTTTAATTCTTGGATCCAGATGCATCCAAAGTCAGATTCACCATTATTCTTTTTTAGTTATACATGTCAATAAATTATTTTTTTAATAAAAAACTAACTTGAGTTGGACTTTCATCATTTATAACGATATAGTCCCAAGTTGTACATTCCTTTGCTCGCCTCTCTCCACTCATATTTTTGAAGCAAAAAATTATGAGAATATGTATCTGATTGGTCCCACGTTCTCCAGCCTTCAGGTCCTCTCCTTTCCTTTATTAATTAAATTATAATAATTGAACTACTATTCTGAATTCCTGCAGGAACTCCAGTCAGCTCCTCAATTACTTCTGAGGAGTGTCTACATATTTGTACTTTCTAGTTTTCATTTTTGTACACACTATTGCTCTGGACTTCTTCTCATTCTGCTCTGGTAATCTTTTTTTTTTTTTTTTTTTTTTGTTATAGTTGTTGTTGGGAATATACAGAGCAAAACATACAACAATTCAACAGTTTCTACATGTACAGTTCAGTGACATTGATTACATTCTTGGAGTTGTGCGACCATTCTCACCCTCCTTTTCTGAGTTATTCCTCCTGCATTAACATAAACTCACTGCCCCCTAAGGTTCCTATCTAATCTCTTGAGTTGCTGTTGTCAATATGATCCCATATATATAGTTCTTAAAAGAGCATAATGCTCAAGGCAGACATTTTTTACTAGTTAAGCTAAACTGTTGTTTGGTTTTAGGAAGACTTCAGGGGATATTTTTTGGTTTAAGATTAAAAGGTTATCTCAGGGCAATAGTATCGGGGGTTAATTCAGCCTCCATCACTCCAGAAAGTCTGTATTCCATGAGAATTTTGAATTCTGTCCTACATTTTTCCCCTTTTGGTCAGGATTCCTCTATAGAATCCTTGATCAAAATGTTCCGTAATGGTAACCAGGCACCATCCAATCCTCCTGGGCTCATGGCAAAGACGGCAGTTGATCATGAAAGCAATGAGGCACACATTCCATTTCTTCCTCCTATTCCTGACTGTCTTTCTTTCTCTGTTGCTCCAGGTGAATAGAGACCAATTGTTGTGTCTCTTGGATGGTCGCTTGAAAGCTTTTAAGACCCCAGGTACTACGCAACAAACTAGGAGGTAGAATAGAAGCACTAAACATGTTATTAGGCCAATTAACTGGGATGTCCTGTGAAATCATGACCCTAAACCTCCAAACCAAGGAACCAAATCCCATGAGGAGTTTGGTTGAACATAGGCAGCCGCAGTAGTTTGTTTCTTTTTCTTTTTACTTTGTCATTGCTGTCAATACATCTAACAGACAACTTTTGTCAATTCAACTTTTTACAGGTATACAACTTATTGTCAGCACTTACAATAATCATGTAAGTACATCTCTGTGTTATTCAAGCTCTCAATAGTACATTTTGCCCACAAATAATTGACGTAAGTCTCTTTAATATCCACATTCAAAAGGCCACCTAAATAAAGGCTACCTTTACTTAGGCTTGAGAGTAAGATAAAGGGACTTTGATGCAGTAATAAAATGAAATTAATATTAAATACTATTGCTCTTGTTATCTATTAGATATGCCCCTTCACATGGGCCTTCTTTAGGCCATTTTCTTCTTTAGCTCCTGGCCTGCTACCAGTTTGGTAGTGTCTATCCATTTCCTTTTTCCATAAGAATCAGCATTTCTCCAAATAAAAATGAGTGGATGCATAACTCAGCACTCTTCAACATGGTCCTTCCCAAAATGGACAGTGAATCTACCCCAAAAACAGATTGCAGCTTCTTAGAACTACAGTAAAGGAATTCAGGATGTTTTAAAATAAAAGTATGTTCTCACCATTAATGATTTAGAAATATTGAAATGTAGTCTACAAGCACTCTGTGGGATGTGTTCTCTTGGTGAAAGTTCCTTGGGCTGCACCCATAGGATTTGTGCACTTTCAATAAGAAGTCAAAGAAAAAAAACAACCCAACCCATTTCTTAGCTTTTATTATGAGTATCAGAATTATTATTACAATCTTTATAAAACTGGTATACATGTGGTTCATTCTTAACAAAGAAAGAGTCTAACAATCAAAAGTACTTTAAACACTCTTTCTTAAAAATCCCAATACCACAGCAATGCTTATAAAAATTCCATTTACTTTAGAGCCCACAGCCATGGTAGAGCATCTCTTTCTACCTTTTCCCAATATCCTGTCTTCCTCTACTGTTTCACCGACTCCTTTGCCACTTCATCTTTCCTTAATCACAATAGCCTCTTTCAAGTAAAATACAGTATGTGTCCTAGGGCTAGGGACTGGAGAAAGACGAGTTTTTTTAACAAGTGAGATAAAATATGTGTGTGGTTACATAGGTAGATACGTATGCATATATGTATAGGAAGGTATATGTGTGTATATACATGAGCACATATAGGTGTATCTGTAGGCATATGTATATACATGTATGTGTGTGCTGCATATATATTCATATAAACAACAAAGCACTTAAGGGGCACAGTTATGGATACTTCCTAGACATAACCAAATACCTCATGGGATTGGTTTACCAGGTTTGAAGACTTAGGACATAGTTTTGTGGGACAACTCAATCAATTGGCATGGCATAGTTCAGAAAGTTTATGTTCTACATTCTAGTTTGGTGAGTAGTGTCTGGGGCCTTAAAAGCTTGCGAGCAGCCATCTTAAGATACAACTATTGGTTTCTATTCATCTGGAGCAAAAGAGAAAGAAGGAAACCAAAGACTCAAAGAAGAAACTAGTCTACAGAACTAACAGCCTACATAAACCATGCCTTCATCTATCCTGAGACCAGAACAACTAGATGGTACACAACTACCACTACCAACCTTTCTGACCAGGGACACAATAGGTGGTCCCAGATAGAATGTAAGAAAAAAAGTAGAACAAAACTCAAATTCATAAGAAAGGCAAGAGTTACTGGAATGGTAGAGACTAGGGAAATTCTCAAGACTATAACCCTGAGATACCTTTTAAACTTTGTGCTGAAACCACTCCCAGAGGTCACTCTTCAGCTAAATAACAGATCGCCTCATAAAATAAACATTATCACCTGTGAGTACTGTGCTTCCTTAAAAAATCAGCTATATGAGACCAAATGGTCAACATTTACCCCTAAAGTAAAGATGAGAATGTAAGGGTGGCAGGGAAGCTAGATTAATTGAAACAGAACAACTAGAACGGAAATAATGAGAATGCTGAGACACTGTGAAAAACGTAACGAATGTCACTGAACAATATATACAGAAATTGTTAAACTGAATCTAATTTGCTATGTAAACTTTTACCAAAAACACAATAAAATGTTATAAATAAATACTATTTTTAAAAAAAGGAGATATTGGGCTCTAAATTATGGGTGAAATGCTGTTAAAACTCCCAAGAATTTTTGTCCTACCACATTATTTGCAATGCAAATGTCACCTCTTCCTTGAAGCTTTTACCAGAAAGTATTATTTCCTTCTCTATTCTTCCATATATGTTTTTGCCTCTATTAAACTTCTTATTATATTATACAGTACTGTATTTATCCAATGTGGCATAGTTGAAGAAACAAGGGCTTAGAATTCAGGAAGAAATGGGTAGAAACTAAGTTTACTAGGGCTGTAAAATTTAACTTATCAGGGTCTCCATATTCTCTGACATAAAGTATGGGATATAGTCCTTAGCTCAGAGGGTATTATGAGGATTGAATAAGGGAAAAAAAAACACAAAATGTCTTTTTCAGCTCTTGGCTTATCTCATACACTGAAAAATATGCATCCCCCTTACCTTTTCTCATACATTTCTGTCTCTTCTAATAGACTGTGGGTTCCCAGAGGGCAAGATATGAAAATACTATTTATTATAGAGTCCTCAGTACTTAGTCCACCAATGGTGGACAGGTTTCAGCTGAGCTTCCAGACTAAGACAGACTAGGAAAAAGGACACAGTGGTCTACTTCTGAAAAGAATTAGCCAGTGCAAATCTTATGAATAGCGGTGGAACATTGTCTGATATAGTGCCAGAAGATGAGCCCCTCAGGTTGGAAGGCGCTCAGAAGACGACTGGGGAAGAGCTGCCTCCTCAAAGTAGAGTCGACTTTAATGATGTGGATGGAGTCAAGCTTTCAGGACCTTCATTTGCTGATGTGGCGTGACACAAAATGAGAAGAAATAGCT